AAGGGACTTCTCAAATTTTATCAATTGTCAAATTGTGAGGGAAAATTCTATTATACACACCCTTTATTATATGCATTATTAAATTATGTCATTTTTTTTAGTTAAGACTGATTTTCTTCTTTAGTTATAATCTTATTTTAATTATGCTCATGAAATATTTGGTTATGCTTCAAGCGTTGTTGTAGCTTTTTTAGCCAAAAAAATTAGTTTTTTTTACCCAAGTCACTATCCAAAAAGCTAGTTTTTTTTGGCTAAAATAGTCAAAAATCAACTTTTTACCAATTTCTCAAAACACCACACATTCTCTAAAGGGTGCGTACCATAGTCTTCCTCTATTAGAGATGAAATTTTGAGAAGTATTTGTGAGGATTGTTAAACTTGGCTTTGAATTTCACCAATTTCTAATTTTGTATGAATTCAGATAATAAAATATGAGTCTATATTAAAAGCTAATAAAACATATCAGTATCATTTGAACATGGTGATATTATGTATACAAATGACCTTTGTTATGTGAATTTTTAATAAAAACAAATAAAATGCTCATTATTCATTATTCTTGTATGAAAGGTTATGACTTTTGATGGACGTTGACTAATTATTAAATATTAATTTGTTTCTCTCCCTTGAAGTCACCCAAATTTAGCTATGAAAATTAGAGTTCTAAAAAAAAAATTAGAATTCTCTCCAATTGATATTTAATTGGAGGAATATTACAAGGCTTGATGGATCCAAGACGCACCTAATTTAAATCTTTCATATTATATTGCTAGTGAAGTAGAATGTTTATATAATAATAATAAAAAAATCAAATTGTCCATATATATGATTTGATTAACTTTTTTTTATTATTATTAAAAATTAATTAAAATAAGTTTTCAAAACAATCTTATCAAACAATTCAAACCATCGGGATGGGATTTGAAATGAGTGCTTTTATTAGCATCTCATTTGTTATTTTGAACCCTTCATTTTTTGATCTTTTTCTTATTACAATAATAACCTTAAATGAAATTATTAAAGAAGATATCAATCATTTTGAGACATTCCATCTCACAATTAAGCTCACACACCCACTAAATAATGAAATAGGGTCTATAAAGGCACCCACTTCTATCACCACACATTCATCTTCCCCAAATCCCATTCTCAAAATCTTGAGAACCTTTTGGTGGCAATTCGATAGCAACGATGTCAATCATTTGATTATACATGTTTTCAGCAATGATAAGGAGTGAAATTTTTTTCGACAATCACAACTTCATGAGATGAGAAAAGTATAACAATGTAAGTTTAGAGGAGGTTCGTAACTTAGATAGTTTTATTAGATTAGAGGAAGTTGGCCTTATATGGGTAAGTTTTTTGAAAAACACAACAAAAATGGTGAAAAATATTTGTATTTTTCGATACTGAACTCCCAAACATGTGACCAAAATTCAGAAACACAACCCCGAACATTGGTTATTTGTTCGGGAACATTGGTCCGAACATGAAAATTTGATACACTTTGAATGATTAAAATTGTTCACATTTGCAAGAGTTGTTGTTTTAAGTTTGGGAATACAGAGCCGAACATTGGTTATTTGTTCGAGGAACACAGATCCAAACATAGCTTATTTGTTCGGGAATACGAGTCCAAACATTTTCAATGAAAGAGAGAGGAGAGAGACTTCGGGAGATTGTGGAGAAATCAGATTGAGACTGAGACTGAGACTGAGAGAATGCGAATTTGCTTCCTTCGAACTATACACATACACATATATATTTATGTGTTGTTTTTAGGATTTTTGGATTGATCAAATAAATGGATCAAATTGAAAAAAGATATACACATCTAATACGAAGAAAAAAGTGAAGATTGCAGAAAATGCGTTCCTTATACCGATCGATTCACTTCAGAATTTTTTTTTCTTCTACCGTCATGAGAGAGAAAATGGGTTTTGGAGAGTTTTTTTTTTTTTTTTTTTGGGGTATGGGAGATAATGATTTTTGGGATGCAGGGGTATGCATTTGAGTGGAGTGAAATTTTCATAAGGATAATTTTAATATTATTTGGAGGGAATAAAAATTTTTTAAAGATTTTAATATTCATAAATAGGAATTCAAAAAAAATAAAGAATCCAAATTAATAAGATCTTGTTTGGAAAGAACATTTGGGATAAAGGAAATTGCCCTGGACCCCAGTGGGGTGACCTCCACCACCCCACTGGTTTTTGATTGGCCCAAAATATATATATATATTTTTTCAAGTCTTGCTCTCACAGCAAGACAAGTGGCACTGGGGTACTGGGTCGCCTCACTGGGGATCCCCAGCACGGTTGTGGGATAAAATAGTTATATAAGACAAAATTAGTCTTTTTAGGCAAATAAAATAAAATATCACATCTAATTTATAATTATTTTATTTTATTTTATCACAAATGTAAAAAATTTCAAAAAAATTATCCCTAACAAAATTTTTTAACCTCAAATTAAAATAATTAAAAAATCAACCTACAGCCAAACTAGCTCTAAGTTACCTTTGAACATTTCGTTGTAGGAGTAAAGTGAAAAAACTTGAAATATGAATAGCCAAAGTAGAAAAAAAAAACTTTAAACATCAAAGTAAAAAAATAACCAAACATAAAAAAGGCAAAGTGTAATTTACCCTAAAATATTATTTCAGTAAAAAAAACAATTGCATTTTTGTTGCGATTTTAGAATATTTTTTCTACTTTTTAAAAGTGCTAAATATCTTTCACCTAAATGAATTCAAAAAAGTTTGGAACAAAAAAATTAGGGTAAATGAACTTTCTTGAAGTTTAAAAAAAATACAACAAGCAAAACAATTTTAATATAATTATACTCATCTCCATTTTTTTAGTAAAATTACAAGATCAAAACTAATATAGATGGTATGAAGAAATAAAGGTACATAAAGATACATAAAGTAAAATATATATTTAAATATATGAAATATAATATTAATTTTTTTATATCATCAATTAATGAATTTTTGATAAAAACAAAACATATTATTATATAAATTAAAAGGTGAATTACGTTAAAAGTCTCTATAATTTATAACTTGTGTCATTTTATTCCTTAATTTTTCAATTGTAATACATTTGATTTTGAATTTTGAATTTTATTCTAAATAAAGACAATTGAATATACCATTACTCAATTTTAAAGGAAAAGTTATCAGTTTGATAAACTATAAACTAATTTGACAAAAATAAATAACAAAAAAATATTTTTAAATTTTTAAAAATTATTTATATACACAAAAAATAAAAGTATGTAAAATTTATAAATCTTTTACACTTTAGTAATTTATTTTTTAACAAATTAATTCTTATTATATATTTGGATGATGATCATATAATAGATGGTTGTTTTTATTTTCATTAAATTAACTTTTATTTTTTCAAAAGTCAAATATGGCGACACCTTTGATATCATTATTAAAACAATCAATTAAATCAAAAAATCTAAAACTAAAAACATTTCATATATTAAATATATCAATTATACATTAAAAGCCTAACAATCACCCATTACATAATCATCATTCAAATACATAATAAAATTTAATTTGGTAAAAAAAATAAATGTGTAAAACATTTATGAATTTTACATAATTTTATTTTTGGTGGATAAAAATAATTTTTAAAAATTTAAAAATATTTTTTTTGACATTTCTTTTTTTCGAATTAATTTATATTTTATAAAATTGACAATTTTACTCTTAAAATTGAGTAATGATATTTTTAATTGTCATTATTTAAAACGAAATTCAAAATTTAAGATCAAATGTCTCACAATTCAAAAGTTAAGGATCGAACTATAAAGATTATTAATGTAATTTTTCATAAATTAAAATATTAAAAAAATCTAATATAATTATATTAAAAAAATATTAAAAAAATCTAATATAATTATATTAAATTTATAAGAGAGGTAAGTGTAATATACCTTTTTATTTATTTATTTACCTATCATTTATAATATTATTATTATATGTGCAAAAGAGTAATGCTAGGGATTTTAGAAGTTTTATTAAAAATTTTATTAAATGTCTCACATGAGTGTGAGGCCTACATCTCATATTCATATGAGATATTTGGTAGAAATTTTAATAGAACTTTTGAAATTTCTAACATTTTTGTAGGTAAAGCCTTGAAAAAATATTCGGTGGTGCTATATGCATTAATGTATTAATTAGTGTACCAACATTAGTTATGATATTATTATTGACCCTACTCATTTTACAAATTACAAATATAAAAAATCTCTTAAATTATATTACATTATCAATTAATAGACTAATTAATATACTAATTCATGCCTATAACATTATTCAAAAATATTCATACAAATTGATATCGAGATCATAAATTTGGCAAAGTAAGAGCATCTCCAACGGTGTAGCAAATGTTTCACCAAATCTGAGTCGAAAATGGGTCATTTCCTTAATTTGATACTTCGCGCTCCAACGGTTCAACATCAAATCCATTTCATCAAATTTGCGCTGGGCAACCGGTTGGTTGACCGGCCGGTCAACCGGTAACGGCAAAATTTTTTTTTTTTTTTTTTTTTCCTTTTTGTTGAACCTTTTTTTTTTGAACTTTTTGAACTTTTGGTGGTCGACCGGGTGGTCAACCGGCCGGTCGACCACCTAGGCAAAATTTTTTTTTTTTGAATGGTTTGAACCTTTTTGTGAACTGTCTGAACTTTCTCCGGGGCGACCGGTTGGTTAACCGGTTGGTCAACCGGATGGTCGACCCGTCCCTCTCATCCCAACGGTTAGGAACAGTGCTTTGGTGAAATGCTTCGCCTGCACTCAGTTTGGTACCATTTTTGCTGAATTCTGGATTTGATATCGATTTGATGAAACCGTTGAAGCGTGAAAAAGTGAATTTTTCATCAAAATTTAAATCTGATGCTGGGTTTGGTTCACCGTTGGAGATGGTACCACTTGAGCCGTAATTATTCTCATATTATTAATTTTTTTGTAGACGAATCGGTGTGCGGAACGCTATCAAAAAGCTGAACTCTACACAGACTCTGACTCCGCCAAGTCTCTCTCTCTCTCTCTCTCTCTCTCTAGAATAGCAGAAGAATTCTCTGTAAGGGAATGATGTGGGCATGGAATCCATGTATCATCGCTGTCTGCTCTCTTCTCCTGCTGCTCCTACCGTCGACGACGCATTCATTCTACCTCCCCGGTGTTGCCCCTCGTGATTTTCAAACTGTGAATTCTCTCTCTCTCTCTCTCTCTCTCTCTGTCTCTCTCTCTAATCATTTCTGTTCTTCGATGAATGTGATGCAATTCAATTTAATTTATGTTAATTTTAGCTCCTGTATTATAATTGTGTTATGTATCTTCATTGTGTTTATTAGCTCTTCATTTTCTGTATGATTATCCTTGTATAGAGACTCTTTTTAATGATTTTCCATGTTCTGTGATGTGGAGGTTTTACTTCTCTCTCTCTTTCTCATCATTTTGTTGCAATTCAATTCAATTTCATTTATGTTAATTGCAGGTCTTCTGTGTTATACATGTGTTATGTATCTTCATTATATCTATTAGCTTTGTTTAATGATTTCAACATTCTGTGATGTGGAGGTTTTAGTTCTCTCCTCTTCATCACATCATGCTCACAATTTATTATATATATATATATATATATTATACTCAGAACGCAAATACAAGTATATATAGAGATATTATGAGTATTTGTAACATGTTCTAGTATAGAGATAGGGATTATGTTTTCCTCTTCGACGAACTGATTAAATTCTTTGAATTTAAGAATATAGCTAGCCCCTCTCTCTTCAATCATTTCTCTTCTTTGATGAGTGCAATTGAATTTCATTCGTTCTTACGATGAATGTTAATTGTAGGTCCTATGAATCTGAAAATCTGCCTCTTTTTCATATATTTATGTATATATATATATATCTTCACTGTACCTTTTGGCTGTTCATTTTCTGTACCTATAAACTGTGTTTAATGATTTCCATATTCTGTGGTGTGAAGGTTTTAGTTCACTCTTCTTCGTTACATTCTGCTCACAGTATATGTGTTAGACTTGAGCACAAACACAAATATATTTGTATATAGATGTTATGAGTATTTGTAACCTCTGTTCTACTATATGGATGGGGATTATGTTTTCCTCTATGGCCACATGATTAAATTCTTTGAATCCGAGAATATAACCAGGGCAGGTCTTGGGAATTTCTTGTTATTGCGAAGCATCTTTATATCCTCTTGTTGATTTTGCAGTTTGACTAATAGGACAAATGGATCCAATGGTTGGGCTTATGAGAGTTTTATTTATTTTTAATTGATGTGATTGAATGACTCTGCAAATCTTGTTTAAGAAATACGGAGAAAGAAAAGTCTGAAAAAGCGGCCTCTCTTAGACAACAATTTTGGAACTACTACAAATTTTGAGGCAGCATTTTGGATGTCTAATTGCACAAGTTACTCAGCTTCTTTTAGTTTTGAGGACTAAAAGAAGATTTTGAGTAGCACTAACATGATTTTTATATAACTTAAGAACATCAGACTATTTAACATCTTTTGATATCTGCATTTTTTATTTGGGTATTGTTTAATGGTATGCTAAGTGGTTTCCTATTTCTGCATAGGGGGAGACTCTTCAAGTCAAAGTAAACAAGCTTACTTCAACTAAAACTCAACTCCCATATGACTACTATTCCCTGAGTTATTGCAAGCCTCCAAAAATTATTAACAGTGCAGAAAATTTGGGAGAAGTTCTACGAGGTGACCGTATTGAGAATTCTGTTTATACTGTGAGTTTGTGTCCTTCCTCCTTTGACTGTCGTCATAAAAGGAATTCAACATTCTGTTCAATAGAATAGCATAAAGAATGGTTTATTCATTTCTATAAGCTTTATTACAACTATTATGGATCTAACTTGTAAGTATATAAGAAATGCTACAGTTTAAAATGATGGAAGAGCAGTTCTGCAAAGTTGCCTGTCGAGTCAAACTTGATGCTGCATCTGCAAAGAATTTCAAAGAGAAAATCGATGACGACTATCGAGTTAACATGTAAGTGGCCAATCAGCCTGGATTTATGTACATGCACTTGGGATTACATCTTGCTGACAATAAATCAAGTTAACATGAGAGTTTTCAGTAGACATTTTCTTTGTGTTTGCTGGATGTCAGGGTGTAATTGAGTCAACATTCATGTCTTTTTATCTTTTCCTTTCTTTTCTTCCTTATTTTAACTATTGACGGATGATGAAATTATGGTCTCAAGTATTATTCTGGATTTTCTGCGATTGGCATATAGGATTTTGGACAACCTTCCTGTTGCAGTTCTTTGGCAAAGAGAGGATGGAGCTCCTCGGAAGGTTTTTTATGAGCGGGGATTTCATGTTGGGGTTAAAGGAAAATATGCTCATGTAAGCTTTCTGATACATGGCTGCTTTTTCTTTCATACTGTGGTTGTAATAATTATTTTTTGTAAAAACTTGATGTTACAGAGCAATGACAACAGATATTTTATCCATAACCACCTGAATTTCAAAGTTATATATCACAAGGATCCTGAGATTGACTTGGCTCGCATTGTTGGTTTTGAGGTTATTCCAACCAGGTTCCGCACTCTTCTTTGATACTTCCATTTTTTTAGGTTGGGCATAGAATTAAATTCTGTTTCTTCAATCTTTGTGTCGACATTTTTGTGACAGCCATTCTTTGCTTGTCATGTGTCAGTAAGTAAATCTCTGTTATCAGAATCTTACGATTCGCGATTCGATTCACGATTCGATTCCCAATTTTTGTAAAATCGATACGAATCTAAGGGTGAATCTATTTTGGAAGCGAATCTCTAGTGAATCGCAAATTATTGTGTTCGACATATTTTCGACTCATTTTTTCCATCTTTTTAGTGAAAATGACATAATACAACTTCTAATAGCATTTAATACCAAAATAACCAACATATATATGTATGATTTGTTATTATTTTAGTGATCATGAAGTTTTTATAGTATCCAATCAGATTTAGTCAGACCTAATATATTTTTAACCTTTCTTCTCATTTTTTCCCCTTCAAAAAATTGTAATATATCTTCTAAAGATGTTTAAGATTAAAGTTACACTATGAATTATCTATTACTATTTTATTAAATTGAATATTACATGTGTGAGGTCAGTTATACCTTTTAAAATGTTTTAGGCTTTAAAATAAAATATCCTAAATAATTCTTTCTTATTATTTGCTTACTCTTACTTAGAAAAGTATATATGCTTATTGTCCAAATATCAATATCGTTGTTAACTATTGTTACTTTAGAAATTAATAGTTTGTCTATTTGGTTATCATCTTTATTAAGAATGGTTGATAAAAAATATCTATAAAAAAAAAAAAGGTAAGATGGTGATTTTACATAGGAATCTTTGTTAACTTCTTACCTATTAAATTACGTGATTATCATTCAAAATAACATTTTTGTTGATTTAAGTCTAAATATTTTATATTCATAAGATATATTTAACATTTAAATGTGTAGATATATGTTTTTAAGTAATTTAAAAAAAGTGACCGAATCTTTACGATTCACGATTCAATTCGATTCGCGATTCGGTACGAGGCCATTTCGATTCACGATACGAATCCCGATTTGACAACTATGAAATAAATAATATTATTGTATCATCATTTTTTTCTTCTGATCGCATTCATATATCCGGCAGCCAGTTAGTTAAGGGTCGAGGATAAACACTAGTCCAGACCAGTTGTATCAGTGTTTGGATAAGTCACCTTCTTATCTTTCTGGAGTCTTCATTCTCTCTTTGGGGGTTAGCATGATGAACCTGAATATTAAAGAGATGGGCAGAGCTTTCAAAATAAACAGTACGAATCAAGATATAGATTCTGGAAATAAATTACAGAAGTTGTATTTTGGAAATTATAACTTGACAGAATTAGAGGACAGTATTTTAGAAACTGTTATTTTTCTTGCTTGTATGTTGCACTTGTTTCAGGCATTAGGGGGAATTCTTCAAGCTTGCTTCTTCTCTTAATTGTGCAGCCTAATCTTTGTTTCTTGAGTCACCTGATATGAAATACAATACTAACATTGTTGTTGAACTGAAGTGCAATCGTTGTTCCATACTCTTCCATTGTCAAAACTTTTGACATATTTGTTAAGCTTACGTTAATCTTCCCTAGTCAGCATATTTTTGGATTTGTCATTCTTACAATTTTCAATTTTCTACTCGTGTATTGCAAACAGTATTAGTCATAATTACAAGATTTGGGATGATGAGAATCCTCAGTTGGTAACATGCAACCAGAAAAACAAAACTATAATTCAACCGAGCACTGTTCCAGAAGAGATTGAAGCTGACAAGGAGATTGTGTTCACTTATGATATTTCTTTCGAGGTATTTTTTTTTCCTCACCCTTGCATTTCTTTTTCCTCCTCGGTTTGGTTTCTGATCTTTATCCATCTATTGGCAGTCCAGTGACATCAAATGGGCATCCCGTTGGGATACATTCCTTCTTATGAATGATGATCAAATCCACTGGTTCTCCATTATCAACTCTTTGATGATTGTCCTTTTTCTTTCTGGCATGGTAGCTATGATCATGTTGAGAACCGTCTACAGAGACATTGCCAATTATAATCAGTTGGACAGTCAAGATGAGTCCCCAGAAGAAACAGGATGGAAACTGGTTTATGGGGATGTTTTCAGGCCACCTGATAATTCCAGTTTATTGTGTGTTTATGTTGGTACTGGAATTCAAGTTTTCGGAATGATCCTTGTCACGATGATCTTTGCATTGCTTGGTTTCCTCTCACCTTCCAACCGAGGCGGGCTAATGACAGCCATGGTTTTCCTCTGGGTCTTCATGGGCTTATTTGCCGGTTACTCTTCAGCTCATTTGTACAAAATGTTCAAAGGAACGGAATGGAAGAGAATCGCTTTAAAAACAGCAATTATGTTCCCTGCTATTCTTTTCTCGGTCTTCTTTGTCCTCAATGCTCTAATCTGGGGTGAGAAATCTTCTGGAGCCGTCCCTTTTGGAACAATGTTTGCTCTAGTGCTGTTATGGTTCGGCATATCAGTGCCACTCGTTTTCATCGGCAGTTACTTGGGTTTCAAAAAACCCGCTATGGAGGACCCTGTTAAAACAAATAAAATCCCACGTCCCATTCCTGATCAACCATGGTACACAAACCCCATTTTTTCCATACTTCTTGGAGGCGTTCTTCCATTTGGTGCAGTCTTCATCGAAATATTCTTCATTTTGTCGTCCATTTGGTTGAACCAATTCTACTACATCTTTGGGTTCCTCTTCATCGTCTTCATTATTCTCCTAGTCACTTGTGCCGAGCTAGCCATCGTGCTCTGCTATTTCCAGTTATGCAGCGAAGATTACTATTGGTGTTGGAGAGCTTACTTGACTGCTGGCTCGTCTGCGCTATACCTCTTCTTATACTGCACATTCTATTTCTTCACCAAGTTGGAAATTACAAAGCTAGTTTCTGGGATCCTTTACTTTGGGTATATGTTAATCGGATCATACGTGTTCTTTGTCCTAACCGGAACTATTGGCTTCTATGCATGCCTGTGGTTTGTTCGTAAGATTTACTCTTCTGTGAAGATTGATTAATTTTGACAATTCAAAAGAAACCACCCGGCTGGCAACTTGATTTCAAGATCATGATTTTACTGCGAGCTTACAAGCAATATACAGAGCTAATTCTCCTCTTGGAGTTCATATATCTTTCTAGTGGTTCTCATATCGCCTATGCAGGTTAGGTTATGGCTTTGTAACTATACTTTCTGTGAGAAACTCTTTGCCTTGATTACATCTTGATCATAAATTAGAGCCTACTTGCAAGCAGTTCAAATAGCTATATACTTGAAATTTTCTGCTTGAGGGTGTGTAGTGTAAATTTTTTAACATAGTGAATAACTGTTATACAGAGAGTCTAGACAAATGAATTGATTGATCATAGAGAAAAACCCACACCAGGTGGAGAGTCCAACCCTTTCTCTACTCCACAAGAGTTTAGTGTAAAGAGCAAGGATCCTCTAGAGTGATTTTTCCCTAAAGTTTCTTAGAGTGCTACATTGTGTAGTTGAGATAATGTAGCACTTTAGGAAACTTTAAGAAAATTTTACTCTAGAGGATTCTTGGTGTTAGTGTAAATTCTAGTTACAGCATGTAAGGCAAACATAATTTAAATAAATAAAAAACATTATTTGTAAACTTTGAGCGAAGGATATTTTTAGTTTTTATTTTTTGATTATTAAATTTAAACTTGTAAGAAACTGTACCGAATAAACGCACAATTGAAATGAAATTTATTCAATTATTGATAATGACTATGTGATGCTTTACATGTAACAACCACCACCAATCTGTAAAGTGATGGGACTGACAAATGAGACTCATTGAGAGGCTATGTTGATGTTATATGAGAGAATGGATACACTTGTCAAAATATTGACATATAAAATTTTACATATTAAATTATTCACCAAGTCACATGGAGTGTAGGACGTACAATCCACACTATCATATGAGGCGAGTCTCACATTTCACGCAAGAGAAAATATTTTTCTGATTTTGGCATTGTTGACCTATCAAATATCCAACAATAGTGTATTTTTCTCAACATCAGTAGTTTAACAACAGAGTTACGTGAGTATTATGACACATTATTTTATATTTTGTCAATTCAAAACTCTACTCTATCTCAATTTTAGTTCATTATTAAGAACTTTTACGTTGTGTTTGATTTAGGGATTTGAGGAGGGATTTGGAAAGGCAAAGGGAAAGGTAAAAGTTATGTGAAATGTGAATAAAATATACTCATATTTCACCTAGTTTCACACACTTTTTTTTCATTTTCTTTTCAAATTTCTCCTCAAATCCCCCAACCAAATACAGCATTAGTGAAAAAAATAGGAAAATGTATTGAATTTTCAATTTTTTTTTGTTTGTGTATTTGGTGATTTTTTTTTTCTTCTAAATATTATACTTTTTAAGTGTATTTAAATTAGGTGTATATAAGGCTTCTTTTGGGAAGTGGAAATTAATTTTTTTACTTATTTAGGTCATATCACTTTTTTACTTTTTGTATGTCATCTCGCAATAAACAAAAAAGTCAATTTTTTTAGCATTTTTCAAAACAATCCTAAAAAATAAAAAAATTGTATAAAATATTAAAATTTTGGATAAATTACAAATACACCTCCTAAGGTTTGCTTAAAATATAAATTGTCCTCTGTAATTTGAAAAATTATAAATATTCCCTTATTATAATTTTTTATTTAACAGAATTAATTAAAAAAATTAAATTCATAATTGCTCTCCTCTACAATAATAAAATTACCTAAATTATTAATTGAAATATATTTTTAATATCATTAAAAATTTAAAAATTGTTAATTGACTTGATAATTTATTAATAAAAGGAATGATTTGTTATGAATTAAAAACTCTAGGACCCGTTTGTTTTCAGAGGTAGAATGAAAATAATTCATAGTGAGACGATTGTTATTGAGCGGATTGATAGGATTAAGTAAAATTGTATTTATTTTGATGATAGTTGTTAGTGTAGGAATTGTTAAATTATTTTTACATAAATAATAAAACAAATAAAAAATAAAAAAATTAAACATTAATGTTCAAAAAAAATGACCAACATGTAAAAAATTAAAAAATTTCTAGTTTCCTCTCTATTTTTCTAATACCACCTCTACCTCCTCCATTCCAATCCCCCTTCCAATCTTCATCCTAATCCATTCTTCCATCTTAATTTCTTCTGCAACTCTACAAACAAACACAACACTAAATAGTCTCACCTCTATCTTAATTTCATCCCACCCTCTACATCCCAAAACAAACAGGGCCTAGAGATAGAATGTAATTTTCAAAATTACGGAGGTAATTCGTATTTTAATCAAATCTTATGGAATGTATTTATAATCTATCCTAAATTTTTTTTCTAAAAACAAAAAAAAAATACAGAAAATAAAAAAATTTAATTTAAAAAAAGAAAAAAAAAGTGAGTTAAACTTTGAAGAATTTGTTCAATTTTTATTTGGTGTGTAGCCTGTATGGGGTACACAAACCCAGTCCCTTGAAGAGCTTTCACAGTCTGCAGTTTCTGCACCATTACATTCAGGAAAAAGGTTGGAGACTCACAGGAACACCTTTTTTAGGTTGACTGTCTATTTGGCGGCAGTGACCACTAATTTAGGGATTCTAAATTCATCACTAATGAGATAATAAAGTTAAAAAAAAAAACACAAACAAATAAATAGACACAACACATATTGTGACAGTGGATAGGACCCATTGTCACATCAATACTGGTAGAATTAGAGCGTCCACTCATTTTCTTCTTTTTTTTGAACATTTTATTATGAGCAGTGCTATAGACCCCATTAATTTGTCATCACTAATCTCGCTACTAATAAGGTGGCAATTGAAAAAACAAAAAAACAAAATACAAACATACTGTATCAGTAGGTGGGACCCCTGTCACATTATTAGAGCCTGCTCTAAAGCATTTCTCTTTTATTATCAAGGGGTTTTGGTTTTGCAGCTTTTTAGTGCCTGCCGAAACTGAAAACAAAACAAAGGAAGAAGAGAGGCAGGCTGGCACCTACAAATCTCTGCTCCTTGCTTCTTCTTGTAGAGAATTTGACCTGCTTTCCCACCCTAGAGTCCCCCAATAACATTGAGGGGTCTTTCGGAAAGAAAATAAAAAATTAATTTTTAATTTTTTATCTATTTTAAGTTACATTATTTTTCATATTTTTTATTCATAAAAAGAAAAAATAGATTAAAAAGAGTCAAAAAAATTAATTTTTTATCAACTTCTCAAAACACTCCTCAATATTCAGAGCTCACCAACCTTTGATTGCCCCACTATTTTGTTCTTATTTTTTATTTGTTGAACATAATGAGATTATTTATAGGATTAATTACGATCCCTTCCCTTCATGTTTGAAAAAAATATAATAAATCTTATAATTTTAATATAATTATATTAATTTTTTTTAGTAAATTTAAAGAGACCAAAATTAATATAGATGGTTTGAAGATATAAATATACTTAAGGTAAAATATATATTTCACTTTAAAAGATATGACAATATTATTTTTTTCATTCGTACCGCTAACGAATTTCTAATAAAAAGTGAGACAAATTTTATATAAATTAAAACTTTAAGAAAGTCCGATATGATTATACCAAATTGGTGGGGCTTATTGTATTTTCTTTAAACTTTAGAAAAAGTTAGTGTAATTTATAAATTATACTGACCTCCCTTGAAGTTAATAAAATTGTAGAAAAATCCACTGATGCTTTTGAAATGACATAAACCTCTCTTGAGATTTAATGAAATTTCAAAAATCTCCAACCTCCCTTGAGGTTTAGTTTTAAATTATACAAACATCTCCTAAAGTTTAATGAAATTTCAAAAACCACGCCTAAGATTTTTGAAATGATATAAATTTATTACAGATTCTCTCTTCTATTACTTTATTGTAAAAATAATAAAAAAAAAATTGTTCATATCATCAAATAATTTAATTAAAAAAATAAAATTTCTATTCTCACTTTTTTATTATAACAAACGATCTTATACAGTCAACAAAAATACCCATACATGTTTTCTTTTAAGCTTTTGTGCCATCACTTCAATAAATGGTGGTTATTGGTTTTGGAAAAATGTTTTATTCATGCAAATTTTTTATTTTATTTTATTTTATTTCATACACTTTTTGAATGATGTGACAAAAAAAATGATAAATTAATGACTCACGTTTTTACACTTCTCTCTTTTTTAAAAAAAAATTTTTTTAGCCTTCGTAGAGATGTGAGTTGACTTTTTAACTTTTTGACTATTTTAGTCTATGGTTAAAAAGTCTCGTTTGGGATTGATTTTTTCACTTTTATAAGAAAAAAAATGAAATAATTATGGTTTAGATGTGATATTTTATCTTATTAATTTTTTAGTCTATTTTGTCTTTGTGTGGCTATTTTAGCCCAAGAAGATGATGCCAAACATAGCCTTAAGATATCTAATTTTTCACTCCTAAAAATCACCCATAATAATGTGTCTAATAAGTATCAAATTTTAATTTATTAAATATTTTATCATGTTGAGTTTGACCTCAATGCCACATTATTAAATATCATTTAGGAGCGATAAATTAAAATTAGGTGAATGTATCATTATTGTTTCTCAAAATCTTTCAGCCTACATTCGAAGAGACTTGTTTTGTCTGAAAAGAAATTGTGTGAATTTAATACTGTTATTATTTATTATTATTTTTAAAAAGGGAAAAGAACAGGGATACTTTTCATGTAAGTGCTGACACAAAAATAGTGACAAAAAATTGTGACATTATTGCTCTTTAACGAAGTGATGCAAGGTTCTTGCCTAGCCTAGGTGTTTGGGGTTTATTTATTTTTGACTATTTTTGTCTTTAATGATTTTATTTATTTACTTTTTTTAATTTTAAAAAAAAATTTAGGCCTAAATTTGGCTCGAAGATAAAAATATAAGTCAAAAAATAGTAGACTTTTTCGACTTATTTTGGTTATTTTATTTATTTTTAAATTGAAAATAAATTAAAAATTTAAGATTTAAATTGATAAAATTAAAGGGTAAAATTCTATTTTTTTTTATCATTTAATGTTTAATATTTCAACTTGAATCCAAAAAATAAATACATTCCTTTGTATAGAACTAACATCTCAATGGTGTTACACCAGCAAGAGTAGCAAGCAACAACTGCTTTATTTTTTTATTCAAACTTTGAAGTACCTTCTCCTTTATTGAGCTAGACTAATTTGAATATCGATTTTATGACTTCTTCTCTTGGGACCTACCTTGTCAAATTGCAATGGGAGTCTCAGAGAGTTGAGTAGGACCAAAGGCATCAAGAGCATTGGAAGTTTCATTCTTAATAATC